GTTCTCTAGGTTTATCTGTGAGCACAAGGACCCCTGTGCCTCCTACATCAAGTATTAGAGAGAGAGAGTATAGTTTAAATGAAGTTATGCCACTTGAGCTGATGATGCTCAGCCCAGAAACCATGTATTATGTAGCAAAGTACCCAGTACCAGTACATGAAAAATCCTCTTTGTGAGATATTGGTCCAGGGAGTCTGAGGCTACCAAAACATTATAGGCTATTGCTGTTGCCCTTGGTTTCCCACCAGAAACTGAATTAAATCCTAATTGCTGAAGAGCCATGCACTTCGGGGGCAGGAAGATCCAAACTGGATCTAATCTGAAAGCCTACTCCCTGAGAACTAGCTTTCTTAATACCAGGTGGCCCTATACGAGCTGCCAAGGGAGAAAAGCAGCCAGTATCCTACCTAGCAGTGATACCCATGAAACACAGCAATGACCAGCATGGCACGATGTCCCTAAAGGTGCAATAGTGGCGCTTATCTTTCGCTTTACTCAAGGCCCTTCCAAACAATCCATTTTCTGCTCATTGCATTCTGTGGGCAGGATCTTAAAGAGCTTACAAAATAGGTCCCTCATGTGGACATGCATTTACTCAGTCAGACTGATCTGTTAGCTGTTGCTGTTTACTCAGTCAGACTGATCTGTTAGCTGTTGCTGTTTTACAGCGAATATCTGAGTTCCATAGCCTTGGAGAGGCATTGCAAGGTCCGCCTGTGCGTTCGTAATAACAAGCTGCCCCTTGCGGCTCAGTGGGCTCTTTACTCCAGCTCTTCCAGGCCTTCCTTAGGCTGTCCTGCCCTTGCCTCACCAGGGACCCCGTAGGGACTGGTGGTCACCAGATTCGTGAGATGCTAATCCCTCCACAGAAGCTGGGTGCAGATTGACACACAGTGCGGAAACTGAACTGTCAGGTTGACAGTGTTTGTGGCCCCATCCCTTTCCCACAGGCTACTGCATTTCAGGAGATCTATGGACTGGCACAGGTGTCTGTTGACCGGCAGCTCTCCACACACCACGACTGGTGGCGCATTTTGTTTTTATCTGATTTAATTTAGGGCATCTGTTGATGACTGCAGAGAATGACTGTCACTGGTGGATGCGATGGCTTTGGAGAACACTGTTTCTGGCCTTGCCTGTCTGTTGCAATCCATGTGTAGGAGACAAGCGGGCTCTCCTTATGCCCAGAATCGCACGCATTTGAGACTCGTTCTCCAGCGTGCTCCACCTCTCCACTCACATCCCCGAGCCTGTGGAAGTCCTGTGTTTCTGGGAATCTACTCATTTTGGAGAGTTCTTCCCCAACTATTTTTAAATATAGAAACCCCGTATAAAGCCTTATCTAGACAATGCCACTTCTTGGTTTTGATTCTTTTGCTGGAGTGCTGTGGACTGAACCCAGGCCTCACACACAGCGCATGGATGGTCTATCCTCCAAGGACTGTTCCCAGGCCTATTTGTCCGGAGTTTTTAAAACTGTTGCTAGTGTTAACTTGCCGCTCCTTTGGATTTATATTATTTTCTGTTACAAAAAAAGGAATGAAACAAAAGGATAAAGAGAGGAAGGGAGGAAGACAGGACTACGGGACTGTTTTTCTGTCTGAGTTTTCAGCCAGGCTTGGTGACATGTGCCTGTAACCCAAGCACTCAGGAGGCAAAAGCAGATAATCATTTGTAAGATCAAAGCCAGCCTGGGCTACATAGCAAAAGTCTTTTATTAAAAAAAAAAAAAAAAGTTTTGTAGTGCTGTTTTCTTAGTAATACACCTATAAAGTTAATATATAATATAATAATTTCTACTTTCTCCATTTCCTGTAAGCAAATTTCTGTGACTGATGTACTTCACCAAGCCCTCGCCTGTTAGCAAATCTTTAAGGCTGAGATTTATTAATGATCAATTTATGTTGACTCATACTATATTTTGGCATTGGAAATATTGGATAAGACAAACATTTGTATGTGTGTATTGATCAAAAACATAAAATTTATAGATTGCTTTTCACTGAACTTGATTTAAAAAAAAAAAAAAACTCCCTTCCTTAAAGTTCATGGGACAGACCACTAGAAAAGAGATGAGAGTCCTCTAAAGAGTTCCAACAGTTAAGATAAAAATAGGAGAACATATCAATAATAATGAGTGCAGCCATGTTGATTAGCAGAGGAATCAGACCAAAAAGTCACTCCCCCTGGAGTCTTGTGGCTGCTGTGGGCACTGGCCGACCAAGCCAAAGGCTGCGGAGCACCAGACCCGCTCTGGTTGGGGCCCAAGGGCTCTCAAAGGTGCTTTTGTTTTAAAAACTCTGGAAGAGCAAGCACGCCTTACCAGCCCTTCTGGTGGCCAAGTCAGAGACAGTCAAGAACTGCGCAGCTAAAGGCAGCAAATGTGAGTTTTCTGTTTCGTAAGGTTGACGGTGAAGAACTTGTATGGGGTCCCCACTGTGGGTCAGAGGTAAGAGGCCCTGGTCCTGGTCCTGCACCTCCAAATGTGCTTGTTGTCTTCTCAAATATTCTTCTGCGTTTACATGAAAATTTCAGAGCACTTCCTCACCGGATTGTGTTTTCCATCAGAGGTAGGCCTGCTTTATTTTGAAGCCCTAGTGGTCCCATCTGGAGCCTGTGACCTCTGCAGAGACAAGCAGTTACTTGTTCCCCAGGCCCAGGCCAAGCACAGGCAAGCCTGCAGTGTACCAACCACACAGCCCTAAGTGCACAGACCCCCCCCCCTCTCCCCACAAGCCCCTCTGGGAGCCGCTTTTGTGGCAGATTCTATTTGGTTTCACAGGACCTGGAAGAGGACAAGGGACACTTGGCACTGCCCCCCAATCTCCCACGTTCAGGACCATTTGCAAACCGCTCTCAGAGGGAGCCCCGGACCAACAACCCCTAGCAGAGTCCCCATAAGCACCATTGTCTGCACGGGGCTTGCCTTTTCCCAGCTGACCTGCCTGAGGGGGGGGGGGGGAGATGTGAAAAGTTAGAGACAAACTGGCTTCCACGGAGGGAGGGGAGCTTTCTTGTACAGAAAGGAAGGAAATACCTCTGTGGGATTTCATTTTTTTCCCCTCCTCTTCATCCAAAAAAAAAAAAAAAAAATACAAAGAGACTCTCTGTCTTAAACGGGAACGTCGGCTTTAAATCTCTTAGGTTTGGATTAACGCTGCAAAAGGGGAAAAAAAATCTGACAGGCTTTCAGATATGACTCAGAAAAAGTTTTTCCCCTCAATTCCTGTTGTTCATTTGTAAAGGCCAAGGCGGTAGCTGAATAGTGGGCTGTAGCTGTCCCCTTGGTCATTAGCATGACAATGCGCAGAATTAGCAGCCTGCAGGATCCAGTTTTTCTTGTCCAGGGAGACATTTAGCTCGAGGTTAATACAAGGTTTGCCAAAGGCAAGAGGGAGTCTTTCTTCTCTTGCCCTCCAACGTTAAAATACATTAAAAGTAAGCCAGGGAGACAAGTTTTCCGTGATAGACGTAGCACTCACCTTACCCTCTTCCCCAGAAAGCAGAAGATATGCGTGCGTTTTTTGTTTTGTTGGTTTTGTTGTTTTGTTTTCTAACAGCTGTTACCTTGCTAGAAAGTGGCCGTGAATGGCAACAAAGGCCCGGGAGTTGATAGACGTTTCCTCTTACACAGTTACGGTTGGTTTTCACTATTGAGGATGTCAGCAAGCTTGTCCCAGATCATGTTTTGCTTATTAAATCAAGTGACTTTTATGGGGACATTTTTCACTTGTTGGTGTCTGGGATGTGGGTGCTGTTCCTCAGAACCCATGCGACAAATTCTATTTTCTGAGATTTTTTTTTCTTATGATGGCATGTTTTTAATTTTAATTTTATTGCCAAAAAGAAAATAGGAAAAACTCGGTGTGCTTGAGTGGCAGCCTGTGTGTTCATACAGGGAAAGCATGTGGGTCCTTTCCGGTGCCCCTTTGAGAGTCAGGACGAATACCGGGTCCGCACATGCTTTAAAATTGCTCTTCCTCTATGGTGAGAAGGGATTGACTACAGCTATGCGTGATCGCGAGTCTACGCGGAATTGAACTCAAGATCCTTTTTAATTCCTGAATTCAAGATTTTGAAACCAGAACTCTTTCTGATTGATTTGCAGAAGGGTGTAAGTGTGCAGGGGCTAACTGACCACTGTGTACTGGAATTAGCATAGTGTAAGCCGAAATGTGTCTGTTATTGTACAAAACTCATCTTTTTACACTCTTGGTCATCTAACTCTATGATGGTGATATTTACTTCAATCACGAACAGCTAGTAGAATTTATTACTTTTTTAAAAACTGCAGAACTAATTTGTTTATAGTCTGAAGGACCCTGATACTGAATTGGAGATTTAATACATGGAATAATTGAAAGTTAGTCTTAGTATACCTTTATTTGAATTCCACATACTAGATATTTGGTTTGACTTTAAACAATCATAGATGTATACCGATTAAAATTTATGTGAATCGTTGAACAAAATTAAGATTATGTCTATTCAGTTGCACAAAATAATCAAGTTCTTACTTTCATAGATACCTTATTGTACCATAGTCATAATGTATCTGGATGATTGTAATGTCCTGCAGTATGATAAGTGTATAGTTCATTTTCATGTGCCAGAATTATTGGATTTTGTTTCTAGATGTGAATTATTTTATATGCCATATTATTTCACTTAAATACATTTTCTCAGAAAGATTGATAATGATGCCCCGTTACAGAAGGTCAAAATTTACACTTTATGTCATTGAGCACAATAATTTTGCAAAATCATATGTACATGAAAAGATTTGATGTGTGATCAGCTACTTGAGAGGAAAAGCTGGGGTGTAAATGCATGATAAATATGGCTTTTAACTCCAAATGCCTCATGTTTGAGCTTGGAGCGTTGTTTTTCCCATTATAAAATTATATTTAAATTACCTTACTTAAATTATCTTAAGAAACTAAGTGTGAATGGTATACCCTTTGAGGGACGGAAGTGTCAACTGGTGATGTCCTCCACAGGCGGCCATGCTCTTCAGCTCCGGAGTCTTTTGGATGGGCTTGCTCTCCATCCCTGTGGCGTCCTTGCTTCTGGATGTGCTCTGCAAAGTGTAAGTGCTCATATGTGGCTGTAGACACAAAACTGTGTGTGCACGGCACCCCTGACGTTTCTGTCGTTCCCAGACATGCAAAACCTGCAAAACAGGAGCCAGGGACTTTATTTATTTTAAAGAAGAAAGACGTGATTCAATAAGAAAACTAAATGAGCTGAAAAGGCCAAATGAGAAATAAAGTGGTTACTTCCACGTGCGCATTGTTGGATTGGAGAAGATTGTATCAGGGCACATGCCTTTAGGAACTCCCTGCAAGACCTCAAATTAGAAAATAAAAAGAGGTTTTTAGCTCTGAACATGTTTCTGGGGAGCTATGAAAGGAAATTTCTTGCTTCTCTGATTCTAAACATATATAAACTATGAAAGGAACAAAAACTATTTTTCATAATTGTTATGTTTTAAAATGCCGTCTTACCCTACAACATAGTTACTAAAGTTAATGATATATTTATTCAGTAACTATTTTAGTATTATAGATCTCAATTAGTTTCTATGACTCCTGTCCCTATATTACTAAACAAAAGTGCCCTAGCCTTTTCGGTTTGTTGAAGTTCTGCTCACCCCTGGTTACTGCCGTGCTTGCCAAGGGCTCACAGTCAGCCACACGTCCACATCTGTGAAGTCTTCGCAGGAGAATTGCCATGCAAATCTTTTCCCTTGCAGTATCAAGAGGACAGCTTTCAAAACGTTAGTGGATGAAGTTCAGGAGCTCGAGGCAAAATCTCAAGACCCCGGGGCAGTCGTACTTGGAAAAAGGTAAAGGGCAACTTGAGTATGTTCTTTCATAGGAGAAGTTTTACATTTTTCTCTTACTAGTGGCTAGAAATAAGCTGTGAGACTTGCATTTATCATTTAACTCGGTACTGGTGGTGTCGCCGACAGGTTCTGGAATCCGGGAGTACGGATTCAAACCAGGTCTGCCGTTGCTAAGCAGTGAGCTGTCTTAGATGAGTTTCTTAATGCTCAGTTTTTTTTCATCAATAAAATGGGGCTCATATGCCCGATTTAAAGAGGTTGTAGGGATTGAATGAAATAACGGGAACGGGATGACATAGGCCTGTAATCACAGCATTTAGGGGGCTGAAGCAGCTGATCATAAGTTCCGGGCCAGCCTTAGCTGGTGATGAGGGAGAGCATGGTGGCTTCCTGCTGAGAAGCAGCTGAAGGAGGGGCAATGAGCTGTAGCGAGGACCACCACAGGACAGGAACGCTGCTGTCCTACGAAACCAAACATTCGCACATAACATCTTAACATTTATCAAATCACCATAGCAAGAAAATGTGAATTCAGACACCAGAGGCAAGCGCTGGAAGATGGCTTAGCGGAGAAGAGAGTTCACTATGCGAGCATTAGGACCTGAGTTCAAGTCTCCGGCGGCACCACATAAAAAGCTGAGTGTGGTCATCCATGCCCATAACCCCAGTACTTTGGAGGGGTGGAGGCTGAAGCTTGTTGGGGTTATCGGAGTCAGTCAGCCTATTTCCAAATTCAGTGAGAGACCCTGTCTGTACAGAAGAAGGGGAAGAGTGACAATACCCAGACAACCAGTGATCTCATGCCCTTCACAGGTGCCTGAGTAGGCACACCCCCAAAAAAGGGGGTGCAATAGGGATTATAGAGACTGTGGCCTCACTGGAGACAGAGACTCTTGGATGTCACTGGAGTATATGTGAAGCCATGTATATGATGTGCAGGTAAATAATGAGGCTCCCGGTTTGATATTCAACTGTGATCATCAGCCAACAGAGCTGGTCCTTAACAAGTCTGGGCTCAGGATCAGACGTCACCAGTTTGTGCATCTCCACTGTTTGTCCCTTGGTCTCAGCATATAGGAGAAATTAGGACATTCGGGGTGTCGGATGATTTGGTCGTGGAAGACCATGGTGGGGATCGCCCCCAATTTCTCAGTATTCTTTTCTTAATGGAAAGCAGTTTGAGTATTGTCTGAGAACCAACCAATGAAATTCTGTGTCCCAGTTTTTACTCCAGTCTTGATGTCAGTATGACAGCCCAGACTCTGAAAATAAAGAAGGATATAGAAAAGCCGTTCTGGGGCTAGGGAGATGCTGTGGAATCTCGAGGGCCTGAATTCAGAACTCTAGAACCCACAAAAAAAAAAAAAAAAAAAAAACCAGGATGGTCGAGCATGCCTCTCACCACAGCCCTGTGAGGGCAAGAGACAGGCAGATCCCCGAAGCTCATCCATGGAGTCAGACACTTGCCCAGCAATGAGCTTCTGGCTCACTGACAGATCCTGTGTCAGGAAGTAAAGATAGAGGATGATCAAAAAAAAAAAGACTCACCATCAGTGCCCTCTGCGTTCGTGCACACATGTACACAACTACACTAACAAATGATGTTCACCAAGAGAACAACACAACACGCGTGCACACAAGCACACGCTAATTTTATTTTCAATAAAGCCTAAAAATGGTTTTTTAAAGAAGAAGCTTTATTCAGCCTACTCATCACCAGGGTGAGAGAGATGGAGGAGATCCCCCCCCACCCCCCCCAGACAGGGATCCTAATCTGTGGTTCATTCTCCCAGCAACACTGCTGCGCATTAACCCTTTCGTGGTTAAATGCCTGTTAACTTCCTGGGCATTTCCTACAGCGAGCCAATCAAAATAGTTTGCCAGCTGTGTGATTAAAAAAAAAAAAAAAAAAAAAAAAAAAAAAAAAAAAAAANAAAAAAAAAAAAAAAAAAAAAAAAAAAAAAAAAAAAAAAAAACACTGGCCCAAAGCAGCTTGTAGCAGAACGTGTTTATTTCAGGTTACAGGTTACCATCCATCACATAGGGAAGCCAGGGCTGGACCTGGCAACAGAAAATTGAACACAAAGACCGTGAAGGAATGCTACTTCCTTACTGATTGGCTTTCTCTGACTTGTTCAGTTGCTTTTTCTGCACAGTCCAGGCCCACCAGCTCAGGCCTATAGCTCACAGTGGACTGAGTGCTCCCACATTAATTAGCCATCAAGAAAATATCCCCACAGACTTGCCTGCAGGCCAGCCCACTGGAGCTGGCCTCAATTGAGATTTGCTCTTCTTGGATATATCTAGGGTTATGTCAAGTTGATTAAAAAAAAAGAAGAAGAAGCAACCACCAGGCCAAACCAACTCTTGCCACTTTACCACCCTTCAGAGGTGACCAGGATTCCTTTAAAATACACATTCCTTGACTGTATATGAGTTTTAGCCAATAACATATTTTAGTATTTCTAAAAGAAATACTATATTTAAATTCAGTATCTTTTCATTCACCTCCACTAAATACCTAAGTTACAACATTGTAATGAGTTGGAAATATAAAGCAACAGTGTTTAAATAGTAGTTACTGTGTGATTGCATTAAACAAACTTGGAATTTGCATATTTGGTATGTAAATAAGAGACCTACAGGATTAAGAGAACTACTACCTAAGAATTGTACTAGATGTGGTTTTAGTAAGGCTATATCTTGATCCTTTGCTCTCTCTCTTCTGCCATGCCGAGTTATCAAACCAAAAAACTAAACTTTTAGTATACTTATTTGTTAACATGTTATCCACATATTTTATAATGGGACCTGATAGTAATCTTAGTCCCCCATAAACATGGATGACATAAAACTGCGTCAACTTTGAAATAATAAATTGTTTCCCGTGGGTAGAATAAGGCCAGGGAAATCCAACTCACCAACACTTCTAATTTGCTAAGCACCCTCCTGTAGATGGCATTTATATTCTGGAGGAGGCAGAAAACAGAGTCACCAAGGAAAGAGTAGAGCAACAAAAACCTATTTGTTTTCTTAGCAGTGAGGTAGGACGGGGGCATGAGGACTTAAAACTCATGTATAGCGGCGGTTCTCTCCCACCGAGCCAAGGTTAAGTACAAACCAAGGCATCAAAAGTGAGTCTTACGAAGCACTTTTTCTAACAGTCCCTGGCTTCTGGGGGACAGGAGTGGGAGGGACCAGCATTTGTTGAGTGCTTCCTAGGTGTCAATCACTGTGCTGTCACGCGGTTAGACCCTGCCTGCCTGTCTGCCAGAGAGTTATGTATTATCCTCCATTATGAGTGAGATACCCAGGAAGGTTTGTCTACAGTGAGCCAGTTAACAAGTAGCGGACTCAGAAAGTCAAAGACGGACTCCGGAGTCTGTGCTCTCCCCTGATGGATGTGCTAGGTTTCCTGGAACGCCTCGGTGCGCAAGACATAAATAAGTCAATCAGGGGAAAGCATCATCCTTTGTATTCCAGTTACTGAAATACAGAACATAAAGTCCATCCCTAGACTTCTTCAGATTTTGGTGTTGTGATCGTAAAGAATGATATATTTTGGAAGGCCAGCCTGAAACCTAAAAAAAAAAAGGGGGGGGGGGGATTTGGGGAAGAAGCTGCCCGAAAACTCCTCTGCCCTCCTCCAGCCTTCTAGAATCATTTCAGCTTCAAACAGCAGAGACTGGCAGGCACCCTGTCCATAGCACTCTGCTGACAGAATCAGATTGCCCCAGGCTCGCACTCTGAACTTTCCCAAAGGAGTTACCCATCCTAGTGGCCTTCGGCTCTCAGGTCTGTGGTGTTAGAACATTTAGGAGTTCAGGGAAAGTGACTTCATAGAGATGAGCCTTTCTCCTTTGTGTGTGGCAAAACCAAGGTTTACAACTACCACAGTGCAGGTCAAGCTTTCCATGAATATGTTTTCTTCTTTTAATGCAGCTAATTCCCAGTGACAATAAAATATGTCCGTAAGCCCTAGTTAACATCCCCAGGCTTCAAAAACTATGTGAGAGATTAATACAAACGTCAACATTTCTAAATATTTTCCTTCTTCGATTTTTGCCTAAATGTCTATGTAATTCATTTATACAATGAGAAGGATCTCTTTTGTGTATTGTGTATATGATAGAGATAATTCCATTGGGGGCTTTCAAAAAAAATGGCAAAACACAGAGCTAGCGTAATTTACAGCAGCTTAACTATAGCTGCACAGTAAGGAAAAAAACAAGATGAGAACTTTTTTTTTTTGTTTTAGCCGATGTCCTTCCAGTTGTCAGAACACGCTTGCATGGCTATTCCCTTCCGCAAAGACACCTTCTTTCCTCCCACCATGACTGTTCTTTGCTGTCAAAGAACATTGAATAAATCAGTCCCTAGAGAAACAGCACCATCAGTAAGTCGGAGAAGGTGTGTGAGCGCATCTCCAAATTGCTCAGATTCCTCCACCCAGCAAATGTTTGAATTCCTGTTGCATGAGGAACTCCTCTGTGCAGTAGAGGGAAGATGTGTGATTTCTCACAGTGGGAGCCGCACAAGTTCCACGATTGACTCTGGAGACCTCTCTGTGGAGGTCAGGCTAAGCATTCGTGGACTTTTGTTTCCTTGTTGCTTTATCTAGAATAATTATTTAAAAAAAAAACAATTCGTATTTTAAAATGAAATTGACATACTTGAACCAGATTAGAGTGGTAATAGAGATTTTTCTAATTAAAAGGGATACTATTTGCACTTTGTATTGTTTTCATCCTTTAGTATAACTAAAACTATCATTTTATATCAGAGTATGTCAAAGTATAAGCAAGCTACGGTATGGGTAAGATCGCTGTATTTAAACTCCTAAAAGCTCTGTCCTGAGGATCTGAGTCAATCAAGGTTTTAGATGATTTGGCAATGTTTTACTACTTATGGTGAATGGAGTCGGTATTTCATTTGATTTAGATATACTGGTGCTGGGTAAAGAAATCTTAGTTTTTCTAGATTATCATTAAAGATAAAACACCTCCCTAGCCGTGCCGGGAGTACTCACACTCTCATTTGCTATCTGGGAAAGTAGAATAAAAAAGAGTCAGATCGGACTGCCAGACTGCCGGCTCTCGGGCTTTTGTTCGGTCTGGCTCCGCTGGTAGTCCTGCAGAGAGCCCGGCTCCCTGAGTTGACATTGTGTTTCACACATCCTGTGCCTGCTCCACAGCCTCACGGAGAGGGCCCAGCTGCTCAAGAATGTCTTTAAGAAGAACCACGTCAATCTGTACCGCTCTGAGTCCCTGCAACAGAACCTGCTCCGTGAGTATCAGAGTTTTGATTAAATTCTCTGCGCTCTGTGGATCCCAGTATTTATCAGAGCGATGTGTTATCTTCCCACCGTGTTTAACCACTTAGAATTAATGGTTTAAAATTTTTGCAAGGTGGTAGATAAAAACAAACAGTTGGTTAACAAGCCCGTGGGCTACACCATCTCGCGGTGGATGGCGGATTTTAAAATGCTCTCTCCGCACTCCTTGCAGCCTTAAATCTTGAAAAGAAACGGTGGGATAAATCTTAACTCTGAAAAGCTGCCTCTGCGTTGTTATCTTTTCTACTTGAATAACTTCACAAGAGTCCTTTCAGCTTTCAGGCAATGCAAGGAAGCATATATTTTCCCCTTCAAAAAATATTTATGCATATTTAGAGTTGGGAGAAGTTATTGGGTATCTCACCCTCTTAACATTTCAAGGACCTGAAAGAGAACATAATACATACAGCCCTAGAGTAAATTTGCTGGTGTCGGTAATATATCTTTTATTTTGTGTCTCCACGTGTAATTTATTTTCCTTTATGCTCATGTATAGTGCTCTTGATCTTTATAAGTCAGGGGCCTTTTCCACAGAAGTGATTCCCCCTAGGGATTATCTCCTATCCCCCCCCACACCCCCTCAGAGCATGTAAATATCATGGAGGAAACCAAAGAGAAAGTTAGCTAAAGAAAGCAGGCCTCTCCTCCACCTCTGGAGATTCCGTGTGTTCGTCCCTTCTCCTCCATTGGCATTAATTAAGAAATAATCATATATCTATTTAGAGAGTCTAGGGTAGTGTTTTTATCTGTGTGCTCAATCATGGTAGAATAATTCAGTCAAGCTAATTAATACATTCCTCTGTTCGCCTATATATCCCACTGAACCCTCCGAAAATGTATCCAATGCCATGATTGGACTCTGAGCCCCTCCAGTCATGGAGAAGCAAAAATGAAGGGACTAGCCTTGCTGTGTGGGTCAGAGGGCTGAGGGAGATTGGACAGCCTCTGCCTAGCTGAGTGGGGAACAGAATTTAAGCACCACACTGGCAATCTCTGGTTCTCCCAACTCTCCCTTTTTGGCTGCTGATCTTTTGTCTTTTCCAGATGTCAAAAATGAGTGCCCTTGCTTCTGAAGGTGGGAAATATGTGTCATTTCACCACAGCCGACCGCCAGCCCTCAGAATGAACGGTAATTTCCAGTGAGTTCATTAAGCCATGTCTGTTCTTTGGTTACTTACAGACGGCTACGCTTTCTCTCAAGATGAAAACGGCATTGTCTCCCAGTCGGAAGTGATTAGAGCCTACGATACCACGAAGCAGAGGCCTGATGAGTGGTGATAAGGAGGCCCCAGCCACAGGCTCTGCTGTGTCTCTGAGGAGAGCCGCCACAATCTAAGGTCATCACTACAACCTGCTGACCAATCCCAGTCTGCTCCCCGGGGAGGAAACGTGGATCTGAGCTCATCTCACAGCCGGACTTCATGGACACGTACTATGCGACTCTAGCACCACCGCCCTCAGAAGTTCTCAAGTCCCCACTAAGGCTTTCTAAACCAGAAATGACCTTGTGTCTTTGCCCGAGGGCTTTCTCAAACCGGGGACAGGTCAGTGTTCACAAGCTGTCCCTCTGGGGCTGTAACTATCAGTTCATTGGCTCAGCCAGCAGTCAATCAACCATTTTAAAAAAACAACTCTGAACCGGTGTTAAGGGGAGGTCTCTTGATATCCAGACTTCGATTTCAGGCTATGCTGAAACAAACCAGCATTCTTGATTCGCTCTTCTGAACACTTCTGAACCAGGCATTAATAAGTGTTTGTGTCAAAAAGTGTCTTGCTAAGTGTTTGCCAAAGACGTTCGGTGTGTGTGTTTCTCACTCAGTAGTCAACTGCCCAGAAATCTAAAAGGAAGTTTCCTCGCAGCATGTACGATCTGCATGCTTGACTTTTCAAATGTGAGCGCGATTTGCAAAAATTGAACATTTCCAGGCATTTGCTACTAAAATCTGTGATGTTGCACCTTTGGCCTTACAACTGCTTCTCTGTCGATTGTCTCTGTATTTGTTCCAGGTGGAGGGACCTATGTCCCTGTGACCCTTGTTACAACACTGGTATTTTTTTTTTAAACTGTATTGTCTGTCATTTCTGATGAACTTTAGACTCCTTTAGATGTTCCTAAAAATCTGGCTTCCGCTGTGTGTTGAATGATGTCACTTCGTCTTCAATTTTTTTCCCCTCCTAAGAAACTTATGCTTACATGTTTCTCTGGGATTTCCCAAACTTCTGTTTCGACGTCTGGGATAATCCAGCTGATGATGCATGGGCTTCTTGTCATGTGCGTAGGGCTCGGCTTTCGTCCTGTGTTCTGTTTGTCCTCACCGTGTGTTCCCACTGGAGATGGGATGTCTAACAGAGTTGGTGTGACCGCAGCTACCCATATGCTTAAGCATGAAAATTATTTCGCAGTTCACTGGGCCAGCAGTTCCCGACATGAGTCACGCTCCGCTTATTGACCCGAGACAGATAAGTAGCGTATTTGCCTGGTGTTAAGGAAACACCTATTCCACTCCGGGAAACCGTCCAGTCCGTGACTACTTCTCACCGCGAACAGGGCTTGCTGGTGCACTTTCAAATAGATGTCCACGCACATTTGTCTTGGCATTTCCATGAAATCTCCTGACAAATGCCTATTTTGCTACCAACAATAAAAGGTGAAGGGGCTGTTTAAAAACCACACCCAGTTTTCTACAGTTTTTACAGTATTTTTTTCATCTTCAGAGATAAAGGGAGTTCTAGTTTTCAGATACACTTCAGAGATCGAAACAAACTCTTCTGCCTTTTATTCAAAAGCCTGTTTGCCTTTAAGTGGGTTACCAGCAAAATAGAGACTTTGAAACGTGTACGAGGGCTGGCTCTGAGGAGAGGGATTCTCCAAATTACCTGCCCCCCCCCCCATTTACCTTATTTCCCCCCCCCCTTTTTCTCAGTCTGGATTTAAAATCAGGCTGTGTTTCTTCCTCCTCTAAATGTGTAGCTAGCTACCAGTGTGTCTCCGCATTCCCTACAAATGAGGGGTTCTAAGCATTCACATAATTCTAAAGGGAGAGGAGTGGGCATATCACATCTCCAACCCGACCTGTTGGAGCTGAGATTAAGCAACCCTTGAATCAAAAACGACTAGCAAAACTGCACATGTAGAACTGTTCACCTTGTAAAGCTGTAGACTTTAACCTTCTACCAACTAAATCTGGCGAGTGGGTTTTCCTCAGCCTCCTGGTGGTGACAGTTGAGGTCACACCACAGACATGAGTGGCTACCCAGGGATGGCGTCCCTTTACCCTCCCTATTAGAGGCACCTGTCTCCAGATTCCTCCCATCAGCACACTGTGGGTCGGAATGCAGTGGTCTGACACCCGCGTGGAAATCGAGAGTCTTCTTTTTAATCTTGTATCACGAATTATTTCGATGGGACTCCTCCACGTGAGACTCCTCGTGGTTAATCAGTACACAGCATTTCCTGAAATGAAACTCTGTGTTCCCTTTCATTCCCGCATCCTGTGTTTAAACGATGGACATCAAGTCAGTCTCCCTGTCCCTTAGGCTGGGGAGAGCAGGGGACAACAGCTTGGGTAAAACTTGAAACAGAGAGTTGCTGATGCTGTGAGTTTATAGAGACTTGATTCTCTGGAGTTTCTAACCATTGTTAGGTGGGAGAAGAGTTCATGGTTTTACTGGGGTTTAAAAGACTGCAGTCAAAATTACTTTAAACCTATGTTTTCTCAAAGAAACAATATGTAACTCCACCTTAAAAAGTCCCCTTTAGGGGCTTTAGTAAATGCCGACATGACTGCTCTGTAATGTTTACAATCCAGAAAAGACTATTTATAGCAGAAAAGCCTCATTACTGTAGCGTCGAAAAGCTGGGAGTTTCTTCATTCCTGCTGGAATAGACCCAGGAATATATCGCATGGGTTCTCTGTGCGCTAGATATCCATGGAAAAATGCACTGGTGCCTCGCGCCCTGAGAGATGCTGTACTGTAGAAGGTGTTAGCAGGAAAGCAGTGTTCTCAGGAACGCGGGAAATTTGAACCTGGTAAGTGTGCTTCTTGGCTGGCCCTCCCCTCAGCGCTCCGCGTGCATGTGCATCGGCAGCAAAGAGAACTTGCTGGAAAGCTTTCTCACAGGCAGATGAAGGGATACTGCCAGCGAAGGGAGCCATGCGTTGCGTTGTCATCGAAGAGAATCAGTTAGGCCGAACGAATTCTCGAAACGACCAGCATGTCATCCCCACATCTAATTATATATTCTGATTTTTCAATTCAGCATCCCAGAGAGCTGGGATGATCCTCACAGGTTAATTATGTGCTACACTCCGTGCCACGCTCGTACGCTGTCATTGAAAAACACCCTGTCAGAAAAGGAACGCTAGCCAGAGAGCGGTAGAGAGGGACATCCTCTTAGAACAGCGCGGAGCTATCGCAAAGCTACCTGCTCGTCTTGTGGCGGGTTTTTTTTGATGGCTCCGGGTCTTAAAAGTGTTTCGTAGAATGAATCTTTAGTCTAATTAAGTAAACTACAAAATTCATCGAGACAACGTCTCTCCACTCATGCACACTGTGGTGACCACGTACGTGGAACTCCTTCTGTCCTTCTGTCCGCTGCTTACAGTAACCCCATGTGACCCCGTGCCTCAGAAATGCTTTTTAATGATGAGTATTTCTGGACGGCCTCTTAAACATACCACAGCCTGGTGTTTCTCGGATTAAAATAAAGCACTTGTGAAACTCAGTTAGACTTTGCTGTGTTTTACTTAATCCTCAACAGCTCTTAAGGTGGAATGTAAGTTAAATTTTGAAGAAAAGAAAAGAAATGCTTTCCATGTCTCTTATTGATTTTTTTTCTGTAAAACAACAGGTGTTTAAATTTTTGTTTCTGTGTGTGTTTGTTTTGTTTAGTTTTTGATAGGTTTGTGGTTTGCATGGCTTAATATTTAAAGTGATCCAGGCAAATGCATGGCTTTTGTAAAATAAAAAAAAAAACTCGATATTTATTTCTGTCTTGTAAAACTTTATCATGGCCTAACTAGAATTTAATAGTCAATGGATAAATTAATTGGTCCTCCACACAACTTTTTTTTTTTTTTTTTTTTTTTTACTAAATGGGTTATTTTATAAGCTTCAAATTCAACTGAATCTTTTTATCTAACTAGATCTTCTGTTTGGCTTGCCTCTAAGAACTTTTCTTTAGAAAGTTCATGAAACTTCTCAGCAAATGAATCTTCCCTAAATAGGAAGAAAGCTGGATTGCATATGTACTGATTCTGACTTAGCAGCAGCTTTCGATGGGTAAGTTCGCTGCGGCAAAGCTGTGGACAGAGTATTGTTTTTATTCCCAGTCACAGACTAGAAGCCATAACTGCAGTGAGCACCACTTGTTGGCCTCTTCCGGCTCAGTTTTCACTTCCCCAAGTGGGTCAGGTTAAAGTTAGAAGGCAGCCTCGGAAGGCAGCTGTGAGAGGTTACACCGATGCTCAGCTCTGTGGAAAAGCCATTCCTGCCGAAACTGCTGTAGAGGTTGTGGCGCTGCGTGAGTGGGGAGTGTCGAATCTGTGCTTAGAGTGGTTCTCTCAGGTTTGTGTACCTTAATGTTTATAAATAGTTACTACCGTTGAGTAAACTTCGTTTCTATGCACTGTTCCGTGTCATTGGCCTTTTGTGGATGTGCATGTTTTAAACTGCAAATTTTAAACATTTGTCCTCTAATTGTTATTAAAAACCAAATAAACTTTACCATTACATAAAGGCACTGGCTGAAGTCTTCATTGCTACTTTTAGAAATTACGTCGTTTCGTAAAGCAGTTCAGTTTGAGACAGTGCGGCCACCTGATAGTTCCTTCACATTTTGTTTACAGCTATATTTAATCCACTTCATTCGGCTAAGTGAAATATAAAACCAGCTCTGACTTGATAGGCGGGTGGTCTGTGTGATTAGCTGAGAATTATTTTTTGAAAAGTTATAGTATTTTGACTTTATTGTTTAGAAATGTCTCCCACGTATCTGCATTTTATTTTATTTAATTTTTTTTTTTTGATTTTTCGAGACAGGGTTTCTCTGTGGCTTTGGAGCCTGTCCTGGCACTAGCTCTGTAGACCAGGCTGGTCTCGAACTCACAGAGATCCGCCTGCCTCTGCCTCCCAAGTGCTGGGATTAAAGGCGTACGCCACCATCGCCCGGCATTATCTCTGCATTTTAAACCAGCTTGCCAGTCAATAGTTCACTCCGCTCTCTGTCCTTTTGTGTTGGATGAATTTCATAGGTTTTCTAAACCCACTTTAAAGAGGGAAAGAGGGTGGGAGAGAGAGAGAGGTGGCCAAGTTTAGATAATAGCATTTGAAAGATGGAACCATAAAATAATAAAATTGGCCAAAAGTTCAGGGCCAGAAATAAGGATCTTTTTTTTTCCAGAAATAAGAATCATTTAGTAGAAGCGCACCCAATGAAGATGCAGTTTGATTAAGTGCAGAAATAGGATTTCTTGATACAGAGGTCCTGGGTTTGACAAATTGGAAAGTATCTGATTTGATTATACTGTGGTTGCGTCTGATTGGCTGTTGGGAGCCCCTATCCTCTCCCACAGACCTCCTGAGGCACCCAGTAGTGGGTCTTCATGCAAAACCTCAGTAAAGTGCTTGATGGAAAGTTATCTCTGAATCCTATTATAACTTACACACTTAACAGCCATTCCCCTTTAAAAAAGATATAGTGTGTGTTGCTACTGATGCCTTGATTTCAGATGCCTTCTACTGTTGCCATAGGCAACAACAAACTAAAATATGACGTCATAAATTTAATACGTCATCTCCATTTAAAGTCTGCTTTCCCATGCTCACAGCATCTCTAACCTAAAGCTATCAGGGCTGTAACATAGGCACCTCAGTTTAATGAAGAAAGGTCTTCCGAGGCTAGATAGCTTCACAAGTAAACTCATAAAAAGACGTTGGAAAATATGAAATACTTTGTGACATTTGGTCTTTATTACCTCTAGGTACAAACTGGGTAGCAATCGAAAGAAACATTCTGTTGGAATAATTCCACTAATAATGAATGTCTAATTGCAGTTTTTAAATAGCCAGGTACATAATTGTATGTTAACACCTAGCTCCCGTAATAACATGCCTGTAAATTCTTATTTTTTTCTAAACAAATATGAAATTTAAAAAGTAAACTAATGCCAGCTCAGTGTAACGTATCAGATTCCTGGTTGTAACTGGATGTATTTTCAGGAAGCCTTTTATTTATCTCGTTTTAGAGAAAAATTTTCCTGTGGGTTCAAATCAATCTGATAATGTGACATACAACTCCTAACACCAAAAAAAAAAAATGAATAAGTGGATAGAAGAAATAAGAGGGAAACAACCTATCCATTTAGGCAATTAAAAGTATAATAAGTTGTCTTTAGAATGTATAATAAAGCAATCTAACTCTGTTAGATATGTTTTCTATAGCATATGATAAAATGAATGTCTAACCCATGCGGTGTTTTGGGCCCATATGTTAAAGGCTTGGTACACAGAGTGGTACCCCTGGGAGGCGGGGCCTACTGGAAGATGTTTGGACACAGGCTTTCACAGGGGATTGGATGGCTGGCCCTTCCTCAATCCCGCTTCTCCCCTTGGCTGGCGGAGGATGCAGCTTTGCCTCCTACATGTTCCGGCGATGATGATGGCAGGCTGCCCCATCATGAGCCCAAAGCAAACAGAGCCTCCAAAACCGATGAGCTCAAATAAACCTTATATCCTGAAGTTCAACCTCAACTATCCCGTCCCAGTGCTGGAAGGTAACTAACAGTAACCACAGTTCCCCACATGCTGGAGCAATAATAGGCGACGGCAGAAATCTGGCTACCTACCAAGGGGTCATAAGTTATCAAGATATTCTG